TACAGGGAAAGACCATCCACCGTACACACTGTCAGTCAGTGCGCTACAGGGAAAGACCATCCACCGTACACACTGTCAGTCAGTGCGCTACAGGAATAGACCATCCACCGTACACACTGTCAGTCAGTGCGCTACAGGGATAGACCATCCACCATATACACTGTCAGTCTGCGCTACAGGGAAAGACCATCCACCGTACACACTGTCAGTCAGTGTGCTACAGGGAAAGACCATCCACCATACACACTGTCAGTCAGTGTGTTAAATATGAAAAACCCTCTCAGATATTAGAACCATAACACACACAGTATATTGTACTAGAAAGAATATGTAATAATGTTAAAAAACAAACATTAATTTAGGTAACATGTAAGATAATCAAAATACTTTTTTTATTTGAATTTCCTATTTTAGTAAACAGCAGTCAAAAGCCACCTGTGTCATAAAAGTTACTAAATTAAATGTAAATTAAATGTAACAGGCTGTTGACAACGCAGGAGAATGTAGGGGATGGTTTTTCTTGCGTACCTTAAAATTCTCCGTAAACAGCTTCCACACTAACAGCTAAAACACTAACTTGATGTCGCTAGCTTATGTTGTGTCACGTTCCAGAATCAATGCACTCAGTGTGTGACATTTTTCACACTTCCATCACTCAATATAACTGCGTCCACGAGTAAATAAAATGTTATCGTTTAAAATTGCGTTGTCTTTAAGTGTCTCGCTGCAGCAGTGCCCCATGCGCTGATGAATATGTTAGCAAGGATCTTGAAATGGATTAGCATATGCTGTTAGCTGTTCTGCCGCGTTCATCCTAATTGCGGTTCGACTTTTAGTCCTTTTGACAATTTCGTTTGCGTTTCATTCAGCAGAGGCAGACATAGGTGAAATCAACGCGAGCCCGGTCCGATCCGCCACGGCTCCCTGTCGGTTTCACGCAGTGCTGGACAGGGGAACCTTAACAACTCTTTGCCTGCTGAAAGGCCGACACACACGCAGACTGTGTACAGCTGGACGCCTCCTCTGCAATTTAGCTCCGTGATCGGACAGACGCAGAACAGAAAGGGAATCTCGCAAAGCGTGACACAAAGAACAGGGAAATGTTCAATAAGATCTGTATGTGGAACAATTACTGGCCCATTGGTGCAGCTAGCTAATATAAATAAACGTCTTGCCTAACTCTGTTAAAATAGTGAAGGGAGGTAGCTTTGATATAACTATATGTATATATAAATACAATATGACACAATGAACTTTACTGATCACGGAGGATATTTTTATATAAACATACTGTAAATTCAAACGTAAATAATGATGCACAGGTGGTTTGGTTGACGTGATGCAGGACTGACCTGGGCAGGCCTCAAACATGGTGCTGCCGTTTTTTGCTGGTATCGCACTAAGAGGGTTCCGGAAAGATCTGGAGACACAGCCTTTGAAAAGCAGGCCGGGTGTCGTTCTGTCAGAAGACGTCATTACGCTTTCCCTCAACGGGCACCTTTCCGCTTTCCCGCGTTACGAGAGTGCGCCGGGAAATTATTAAATGATGAAATCCTGGACAAGGGGGTGTTGAGATGGCTTAGGTAGGGTGGCAAGGGGAGCGACGGGTCGCTAATTATTGCCGTCATGTGAAGGCGCGAATTTGGCCGATTGCTTTATTTTCCCTTTTGTGCATTTTTTTTTTAGCGATAATTGTGGGGTGGGAGTGGCTGTGCGCGCGACTGTGACAGGCATTCACAAGGGACGCCCTTTTTGTTCTCGGCTCCCGACGACGGCGGATCATGGGGACGTTGTTTTGCGTATGTGGGAGTGAGGCAGAGAGCCGTCTGGCTGTTAGCCACGGGCCCCCCCGGGGGCTCCCAGCGGGCTGGGCATCGGCTGTCACCGCAAGGACGCCGAGAGCGTCGTACGACTCAAACCCTGGGCTGCTTTTCGCCAGGCTAGTGAGTCATCTAAAAGAAAAATAGCCACAGGGTTTTCGAAGACGCCTCGTTCTAAATGGGGTAATTCGGCTGTTTATGTTATTTTAAACACCCCGTCTCTGGTTTTATTTCGGAAAACGCGTTTGTTCCAATCGTGCGTTACCATGGAGACGACGTCTCCATCGCTGACGGCAGGACACCGGCCCCACCGTTTTCATTCATCTTACGAGGCGTCGTGACCGTTCATACAGACGGTAATTTCGTACCAGTACGTATCCTGTGAACCGGCATCATGTGAAATCACAGGACCCACAATCCTCCAGGAGTGGAGCTTCAAACCCCATTAAGGTGTGCGCATCTATGTCTGTGGTCCAATGTGGAACCAAGGTGTTAAGTGCTTTCAGAAGGCCTATAAAAGCATGTGGTTTTAGACGGCGAGCTCATGCAGCACCTGCTCCTGTGTCCTCCTTGCAGAAGAGCAAGCTGTCGGAGCTCCCCACCAGGAGCAACGAGGCCGAGTCCACCAAGTTCCTCATCCTGACGGTGATCTCCATCGTGTGCATCATCGCCGTGCTGCTGGCCTCCACGGGGGTCTACGTACTCCGGCATCGCTCCCACCACAAGCTGAAAGAGAAGCTCACCAGCTTGGGCACCGACGCCAGCTCCGGGGCCTCCGCCACATACCAGGTAGGCACGCTTTCAACTGCCAGGATGCCAGGGTGCGCGCGCCAGACCGGCGCGGCGCTAATTAGCTTAGCACAGCGTAACCTATTGCAGCCGTCTCAGGATCTGAATCCGTGTGACGCTTTCCTGACTTCTGATTGGCCGGTCTGTGAATTTTTTTTTCCGCAGGGCAGGCTTTCATGTCCGAAAGTGTCTCTTAAGAGAATAACAGAGTGCAGCAGCTTAAGTACGCATGGTACGGCTTATCGTGCTGTGTCTGACCATTAAGATGTTTGGTGCTGCTTTTGGAGAGGATAATTTGTGTGATGGATACAGCGCAGCAGCCCTTCAATAAAATTCACGGCTTTCTTGGACAGTATTAAATAACGATAACGCCTGTGATGAATTTACTGTTTTCACTAAACTGACAGTCTCAGGTCCCTAAGTAAATTGTTTGAATTTTAATGAATGTAATATTTTAATATAGTGACAAGCTATTTATAATTTGAGGAAACTTCACAACGTCAGTGAAGGATTAAGTCGGCCTATTTCATTTTTATAAACACTACTAATTCGGGCTGTCGTGTCTTTCCCGTCCTCGTGCTAGGTCTGTTGTAGCTCAGCATCGCCCCCCACAGGCTGTCGCTCCTGCCGCGCGGGAAACATTTAAGCGTCCGCCCCCCCCCAGACAGCCCCCGCGCGGTTTCTGTGCCCGGGCATGAGGGCGTGTCCCAGACGTACCCGTTATTCCCGCGGCGTGATAAGCCAGCCGCCCGCCCGCTTCCTGGCGCGGCTGATTAAAAGCGCGTTTAACGGTTCGGTAAAGGGTTTACCCGCCCCGCGCCTCGGACGGTCATTTACATCCGCCTGGCTGCTCTAATTAACATGCCATGAAAAGCATGATGACAGCCCTAATGAATACAGTCCATAATTAAAAGTGTGCCTTTTATGTGGGGAAATAGTTTAAATTTCACTGGCTAACCCCCCCCCCCTCGCACCCCCCCGCTACCCTTCGTCTGGGGGCCTGTGCAGTGGGATATTGATTTTATAATGAAGTCAGCTCTTCAGTGGGGTGCTGAAGCGCTGGATTTTTAATGCACCTTGATGGAGAGAGACGTGTTCCTTCCTTTGGGTGCGGCTTGCATTGCTCTGTTCTTTCTACATCTGACACCAAGCTGCTATATGAAAATCCGTGTCGTTTTCCTATTTTTATTGCATATGCTGGAGTGGAAGCCATACCCCCCCCCCCCCCCCCCTCTGCTGGATGGATGGATGGATGGATTTGGCATCTACTCTGACATTTTAGAGCTTAAATAGTGGCATTTTGTCAGTCAAATACCAGATATTACTTCTGAATTCTTATCACGAGTAAATTTGGCGCCGGTGCACGCCCACGCGTCACACTCACGATTTACGTGTCCCGCATCCTGCTGCAGATGCTCCGTGGGGCTCCGTACCGGCCGAGAAACTTCACAGGTCGACGGCCGCTAAGAACGGGGGCTTCCCTCCAGAAACGGGAGGCTGCCGAGGCCTCGTGCGATGCGGGCAAGGTCGCCCCCCCCCCCTTCCCAATCCCAGGACACAAACCCACACGCCGCTGGCCAGGCCTGGGCGCATACTAATGAAGCAGTCATTCACCGACCCGTTTGAACATTCCGGTCACGGCATTCTGCTCGGAGGTTCTAGAATGAGAATCGCGGATGCGTTCCGTTTAACGAGCTCGGATACGGCTCGTCCGCCCGGCGCCTACCTCTGTCTGCGATCGTTTAAGGTCAGAGAGGAAGTAAGCACAGAATGGAGGATAATCCTGGGGGCCCCTGTTTTTATAGCACAGCGGTGGACAGTCGAGGGATCGCCGGTGGGCCGTGAGGTCCAGGCATGGGTAAAAGGTCAGGGCCGTTAATGCCGTGTTCAGACACTCGGGGCTGTTTGTGTGTTTATGAACCAACGTGACTAGGATGGAGATGGACTTACTGCGTGTGGGGAAGTCACTGGGGAAGGAGGAGACACTGAGCACTGTCAGGGAGCAATGTGGGAGGAACAGGCAGGAGGTGAGATGGGGAGTATGTTTAGATGAGGATGAGATAGAGAGGATGTCACAGTGGGATGCAGGAAGTCTGTTCAGATAGTAAAGGGGTATGTTAAGGTGGGATACAGGAGGTGTGTTCAGGTAGTAAAGGGGTATGTTAAGGTGGGATACAGGAG